CAAGCGTGCACAAATCGTGAAGTTAACGCACCCGGCAGAGGCTGCTGCAGCGATAAGGATGTACGCAAGCTACTCGTTGTGCAAAGCCCGATTGTCCGCTCTTGAAGCCGCCCTACGTCTTGATGTGGGTACCCACTTGGGCCAACAGCCAAGCAAGGAAATGAGGACAGGTAGCTCTGTGATTTAGGTCAGCCGGTCTCCTCGACCCTTCAAACCTAGAACTCGCATGCTGGGAGAAAAGGCTCTTCAAACTTGTAAGGTCCTAAACCCCATAAGCCCTACTTCTGCAAACGCCCCCAAAGCCAAAGCTACACATCTCCAAAACCAAACCTGATAGTAAAGAAGGCAATGTAGGCGACTCATGGCAACTCCGTCGTTAGACTATGTCTTTGAGGAATATTCTGAGGGTTGACAAGGGGTTATGCTTATCAGTGTTATTGTTAGTCTAACCCAACTTCTAATCGTAACATAGGTGTTAAGGGGACGATAAGCGGGGATAGTATCATGGCTAGTTCGTCCGACCCCTTGTTCTCAGCTCTTTTGGACCCTGAACCCTAAACCCTTAACCTCAGAGTTTCTAAAGTCCGGAAGCCATGAGCGACTGGCAGGTCTACACTCTGGGATCCCGGTGGAAGCCTGGGATGTCTCTGGGCGCCTGGAATTTTCAACAAACTTCCCGGAGATGAGCATGAGTTTCAGTACGGGGACTTTATTGGACGGGGAGGTAGGAGGATGTTTTTTGGACGGGGTCATAGCTGCGCCAGGAGGTTTCGTGGGTACGCCCGCCAGGTCCAAGATAAACCTTAAAAGCTTAATCCTAAACCCGATAAGCAGGACCAGTCGTCGTGAGGCCTTGCATGTCTTGCGAGCGTCCGACTCGACCCGAAACCCTAAACCCTTCTACTGTAGCATCACCCAGGTGGGGACAAGCAGCTGGGACCCCAGCTGCAACGTCGCATCGTAGCCTTCCTGGCCGGAGAGGTCTCGCCATTGGGGTTCTGGAATTCAACTGGAGCTTGTTGTTCACGAAGAGGAAGGG